CCATGCTGCATCAGAACACAGCTCAACCCTAGGTAGGAGGCACCACTATACACGGTGTATCTATTTGTTCCACTTGGTAGAGAAAAAACAGGTGCGATAATCAACCGCTTCTTGAGGCTGTAAACCTATTTTCGTAGTTCCACTCAAACTTGATGTTCTTCTTTTTAAGTCGGGTCAATGGAGCGACAAGGTTAGAAAACTCTCTCACAAACCTGCGGTAATATTCTACAATTCCCAAAAAGCTACGAATCTCCTTAGCCGAAGTCAATTTTTTCCAACCGAGTACTATCTCATGATTCACCGACACCCCATTTTTTAATATTATGTGCCTCAATAAGGTAGTCTACTCAAGCCAGAACCCACACTTGCTTAATTTTATATACAACTTCTTTTATCTGAGAACTTGTAAAACTTGAGTCAAGTAATTAACGTGTTCCTCTTTACTATTTGAATAGACCAGGATATCATCAGTAAGTACAATAACGAACTGATTCAGGAGTTGCTTAAAAATTCTGTTCATCAAGTTCATAAAAATGGTTAGCGCATTGGTTAGCCTAAAAGGCATGACCAAGAACTCATAGTATCCGTACCTGATTCTGAAGGCTATCTTAAGAATGTCATCTGCCCTAATTTTTACCTGATGGTAACCTAAACGCAAGTCTATCTTAAAGAAAACCTGAGCACCATGTAGCTGATCAAAAAGATCATCAATCCGGGGGAAGGGGTACTTATTTTTGATTATGACTCTGTTTAATCCTATGTAGTCAATACACAAACTCATGGACTCATCCTCTTTCCTTGCAAATGTGACTCTAACACTCCAATGAGATACATTGTATCATATGAACCCACTATCCTGCAATTCTCTAATCTGTTTTCTTAATTCTTTCATCTCTACACGACTGATACGGTATGAGACAATTGAGATGGGATGAGTGTCAGGCAAAAGGTCTATGATAAATTTCTTATCTATTGGCAGTCTGGGTAGTTCATCAGAAAATACATTTGAAAATTCTCAGACCACAGGGATCTCTTGAATGTAAACTTCTTTTTTAGATTTAACTAATGTAGAAAAGATAATTGAGTTAAAACGTCATATAAACAATGCAATTGCTATAAAAAAATAATATCTAAAACTTTTATTAATTTGTGAATGACTCTTCATTAGGAATATTGAATATAAACTTATAAAAGTAGCATATGGTAGTGTGATATGCCGCTAACCAGTTCATCCCCAGAATTACATCAAATCCCTCGTGTTTATTTCTATCAAGTCTACACTCAATTTTTTATATGTTATTTCTACGATACAAGTTTTTTATATGACCTCCTCGAGTAGTGTCTCATTCCCAATAGTAAATACAAACAATACAAAATTAAGATTCTTAGGTAACACATTCTATTTTTTTGCAAAAATATGTGAGACAGAAGAATATGAAGCACCACTATCAATCAAAACATGTGTACGGTGATTATAGATAGTGTACGTATCTTGTATCACGTTCGGGTTAGCTTCAACATCCTGCTGGTGTGGGGGTGTACGCTCTGCCCTAGATGGGAGGTCTGACCTGATTTTGATTTTGCGGACACTCTCTCACATAGTATTGGACACTCGCACATATGCAGGATACATTGTCGAGACAATAGCAGAGTCGGTCTCCATGATCTTTGCCACAGTACTGACAAGTCCTGCTGCGTCCTGCTACTGGAGCTTGAGAATAAGCTTGAGTCATTTGTCTATATCTCTTATTCTACTGAATCGATGCAATAGGTGTTGGTCTGTGGTGTGGGATCGAAGGTCTGAAATTTTTCACTACTGGAGGGAAGATACGGAGGTTCCTCTCTATTAGTTGTGTATTGGTCAAGACTACTGAGTAGGTGCTGAGCTTGAATACATATAATCATCGCTTGATCTCAGGACGGAGGCCCCATTCAAACTTTATTATCTTTATGCCTTCATCTATCATACTCTCAGGAGAATACCAGTCAAACTCTAGGATCTTTTGGGATACTTGGATACTATCATCTCACCCTGGATAAGGTGTGCAAACTTCATTTTTTTCAAATGTCGAAGATGCTTCGGGAGGTACTCTGTATTGAAGGCTAACAGGAACTGTTCATAAGTAATTGAAATAGGCAAAGTGGCCTACTTTAGTTGCCACCAGTGACCTGTCTCACCCACGAGCATGTAGGTGATAAGTACAACCTTCTATTTAGGAACCACCCCAAAAGTTGCGAAGACTTTCTATGTTTCTGCTAACCAATACTTGGCATCTTCGGAGGAGGATGCCCCTGTAAGATATATGAGTTTAGGATGTTGTATCTCTCAATATAGTCTGAATCCATCATGGGTGAAACTGAGTCTTGTGGAAGAGAACTGGATTATGCTGGG